AATATCACGAATTCCTTCCAAATGCAAAGTGATGTCACAAAATGCTGGTGAAACGTTGATTTCGTATGAAAATGGCAGAAAAAAAGAGATGCGAAGGTCGATCTCATCAGAAGACGATCGCCAATGTCCGTTCTATAGCAGCCGTTGAAGCGGTACACAAGACATCCTTTCTCATGTGACGGAAATCAATCTTGTAAACGTCTTAGGATATTCGTAGAAACCCAGTTGTTCTTCGTATCTATACATAAACTAGCGTACCATCCTCTGAGATTGACTCGGGTTGTCAATGTTCACATTATGAGAAGTGTTTTAGTCTTGGCCGGACTCGAGACTAGTTCAACCTGCTGCTCTTGTTCGGTAGCTCTTCCTGCTCTTCCTCTCGCACACTCTCCCCAAGCCTGTCCAACAGTCACAAATAGTTTTTGCTAAATTTCATACATTCATTCCGGCTATTCACAATATTGGCTTCTTTGTCAATTTCTATAGACGCCCCAATCATCAAGCTCTGTGTTTTGGACCAGCCTATTTAGTGTCCTGTATTGGTCAGATTTTTACTCCCATAGACCTTTAAAAGCGGTTTTGGGGTCTGCATACCTCCCCCCCAACTACCTTTCCACATAGTCAAGCCATGTTACACTAAATCACAAATAAATTATTTGAAATCCACTTTCTCTTCATACCTTCTAATGTAAAATGTTGTTGTTATTCCTCAGTTTTTTTTGCGATTTACCGGAGATTTTCGCTTTTATATGCAAAATCAGGCGCTAGAAGACAACTTCAAAAGGGCTCTCGGAAGAATGCAATCCCGCCGTGACGAGAATAGGAGGCTGGCAGAGGCGAAACATGCGGCGACGATGCGCTTCCAACCGACTGAAGGCAACGCTTTGGAGTCACGCGAGAGCGACGTCTGGACGGTGAAAAGAGACGATGAAGAGAGACGTGATGAGAGGAGGAGGACACAAGAACGAGACGACACGCGGCAGCAGGAGACCGAGAAGAAGAAGAAGAAGAAGAAGAAGAAGGAGACGACGACGACGACAGCGAAGGAGGAGGACGAGGCAAAAGAGAATGGGGACAAGGAGGAGAAGGAAGAGGTACGTCGAATGGTACTTTTGCTGATCGAGTCTGGCCACCTCTTCGAGTGTGCCATGCTATTGCTGCAGCAGCCGACTTCGCCGGTAGACTTTCGCTTCACGGCTCTGCGACTGGCCAACCGGCTCGTCGATCTCGTCTACACCCACGCCAGACAGACGCGAATCGTAGTCGAGTTGGTACGTCAACTCGATCAGCCTGTCGTCATGGCAACAGTCAAACCTGTTGAACCGGGCTGGTTTTGTGGGCTCGTGATGGCGGGCAAATCGGATCTCGCCTCGACGCCCAACAGCCTGGTCAG